AATGGCAGAAATCAGCCGCCACTGGCAATGCCATATCAAAACCCTCTTTCCAACCTGGATTGCTATTCTGAATTAAGCGACAATTTAAGAGGAGAGTAGAAGTCTCAAAATAATCTGTTTCTTTTATGTAGGCAGATTTCTATGTACAGTACAGCACAGCCACTGGCATATTAGAAGCGCCTTATTTTTTTTTTCCTATTCAGTATATTGTTTGGAGCACCAGGTAGATTTTCCTGTGTGGCAAGACATAAAATATCAGGAATACCTTCACCCCAAAAAAGGAGTCAAAGGATAAACATGCATGTGGAATCCAGTCAGGCAAGGATAGTGGATTTGAAGTTCAAAGATGATTGTACAAAAAGAGTATATCATTCTCCAGAGCTAGGAGAATTTACAGGCAACTTCACACAAATATATCTAATATCTAATTCATCGCCCTCCCTGAGACATGAATACGACATATGACTTAAGTATTCTAAGCTATTCAGGAAGTTAATCATTCCTTCACCTCTGAAACTTAATCTTTCCAGAAAATATCTCATGGCAAATTCTACCATTTAGAAGACGTGGGGCCCTTTTTACAAATAAGCTTAAGAATGGTATTTCAATTCCCGATGTTTGTTATGATCACCCGGATGCTCTGATCTTACATTATTGATTTGATTTGAAAATTATATGGTGGTTTCTGAATCACATTAGCATGCAGCAGTGATACATTTGGGAATTACAGATGCTTTTTAAAACATCGTTTCTCCTTGCCCACCGCCCTCAAAAAAGCCTCGGAATCTGCAGATTGCTATTTTAATCTTTTATTCTCTATTAACATATCCAGTCTCCTCTCCAGGCCCTTTTATTTGCCAAAGATGTCTAAATAAGTTTTAGGCAAACATATATTTCCAATTTATGTATCTAGCTTAAACAGCATCTATTTGAGCTATGAAAAAATATATCCGATACTTCTATCCCTTGTGAAGAGAAGTGGGTATTTCATTTCCTTACCTTTACATCTGCCTCGATGTGCCACATTCAGATTAGAATCCTTGCACTTTGCTCTCTGATAATCACACATGGATTCATATGTTCTGCCATCAGAAGCACAGAGGGGCTTGACTGAGGATCTGGAGCAGTGAAGGTTACATTGCGGATCTCGGTCGTGGTCACTTATTAAAAACTAAAGACAGCAGGACGGGTAAAAAAATGTAGACTTTTAAAATGATTTATACATTTAAAAAAAAAAGCATGGTGAACTTGAATGCATCTTATATTATATATTATAATTATCAACTATATTACACTAGAGTCCAACTATATTATTAACTATTATACTTTATATCCATATGTTCTCCCTCCTTAAATCTTAAGTAACAACTCTAGGCCCTCATGTGACTGGTAAACTGAGGTAGGCACCACAGCTTGTAATATTATCATATACACAGAAGGCTGATTTCAAAAGCAAATTCTCTCCCCAAATCAGAATGCCCTTTCAACAATCCTATTCCTTTCTCCATCCACTATTATCGTTTCGTAGGGAAAATCTGACTTCTTGCTGTAATCATCTTGGTTCAGCAGTTATCTAAAATTGTACATGCTTTCCGAGTGCAAAGTCGCTAAAATAGTGTCTAACCGTTCCAAGCTTGTTGGTGTGATTTTTAATATACTGAAATTTGCCTACTTGAAATATGCACCTTGGCAAGTTAGACTAAACATCCTTTCTCACTTTAATTATTTCTGAAATATTGTGATGGACAGGATTAAAAACTAACTATATTGCACATCAAACAACTTCTTTGGAGAAAGTCTCACACAACAGTTGACAGGAGACATGCAAAGTTCACACTTCATCCGATTCTTATTCTGCATGTTCTTCTTGCTATTTCTGATCTCAAGAGTTTACAGCTTGCCAACAAATACTGGGCAGGGTATTTTTTTTTTCTTTAAATAGAATCTCTTATAAACCAGTCTGGACCTCACATTTAAAAAGACTGATATTTTTGCAGCTTCTTAAAAGTGATGCAGCTAATGGTGGCCAGATTTAGAAAATAAGCTGTACTTTCTTAAATTACCACCTGAGCATACTGGCCCAAACATCTTATCTCCAGCACAGCAAGTTCTAAATGTTTTATAGCAGGAGAAAACTTGTTATATAAAATTAATTCGTTCATTGGATAGAAGTGCATGTGTGAAGCCTGACCCTAGGTCTTTGGCTTGGCTCAAGTTACCTACTCTATGTACAAATTATGTCCTACATTCTGATAGGACTGTGCAGTATTTTGGATTCAATTTCAAAAAGATTCTTGAGAATGCATGAGGGTATGATGAACATAGAACCTGCTTAAAATGCTTTACTGTTTTGTAAATTTTTGCGTGGTTCTTCAATTCTGAATATAACTTTGAAAAAAATGAAATTGTCAATTAAAGATGGGGCTTTTGGTTTTCTAAATCTTGAATTATATCACTATACATGGCTTCTGTTATCAAATTCTGAACATTTTTATTTATTGTGATTTATCCTTCCTGGGCCCTTTTAGAAGATCTGTACAGGTAGTCCTTGGGTTATGACAGCAATTGGGACTGGGACTGCTGTCGCTAAGCGATGTGGTTGTAAAGCGTGACATCACGTGACTGCATCACTTAGCAATGGCAATCCCAGCAGCCCCAGTTGCAGTCGTAACCCCAGGACTGTGTGGGTCATTAAGTAGGAAGAGTCAGGAGTCCCAGGCAAGCAGGTTGGCGGGTGAGAGTTGCAGGTAAGAGCTACCAGCTGGTGGGGGGTACCACAGGAAGGTTGGAGGGTCCCACGAGCAGGCACTAGAGAGCATGGGCAGGTGTCACAGGGGGTGGGCAGGTGCTATAGGTAGGTGCTAGGGAGCGTGGGTGCTGAGGGGGTGGGTGGGTGTCATGGGGGTGTACATGGGTACCGCAGGCAAGCGCTAGGGAATGTGGGTGCCACAGGACGTGGGCAAGTGTCGCAGGCAGGCACTAGGGATCGTGGGCAGGTGGCAAAAAGGTGGAGACAGTGGGAACAACTTTTGACCTCCTGCTGGCTTCCCCATTGACTTTGCTTGCGGGAAGCCAGCAGGGAACATCAGAAATCGCAATTACATGACCATGTGGGGACACTGCAATGTCTGGAACTCTGAGGACCCATCGTAAGTCCCCTTTGTTCAGCCCATCATAACTTTGAACAGTCACTGAATGAGTGGTTGTAACTCAGGGACTACCTGTATACTATACTTTTAGTTAACTGGACAGTTGTGGGTTCAAAATATAAGGAATTTGTTATATTTCCTATTGCTATTATATACATTTGAAAACTGTGGTATATTATTTCTGGAAAAATGTGTTTTGATCCTTTTTCTCATGCTAAGCTGACACTATGAGGCAATCCAAATCTCAAAATTAAATGATTTAAAAATGATTTTACGGAAGATCTAGATGGATACTATGATCTTTACATTAAATCAACCAGAGGATGGTAATGAAGATGAAAATATAATTTTCTATATTAATAAATATCATTTGTCAGTTGCCACCCACTAGTATTATTTTCAATTGCCTCTTACACTGCATTTTGATTTTGATCAGCAACATTTTCAGCCTCAGAGAAACCTAAATTATTAGAAGGGATGATTAAATCCTAGAAGACCAAGACACTCACAATCAGCCTTCATAAATATCTTATCAATCAATAAATTTGATGTGGCGCATTTTCAAGGTATTTTGGTGAAAAATTCAAGGGTCAGCTTATCCATGGATGGGCTTATCCACAAGTATATATGGGTACTTTTAAAAAGTATTACTGTATATACTCGCGGATAAGCCCATCCATGGATAAGCCAAACCCAATATTTTGGATGTATTTTGGACCTAAAATTCTTGGCTTATCCATGAGTATATTCAATACTCCATGGAAACTGACCACTGGGTAACAGAAATGGATTCCATGCCCATATTACTGCCAAGAGATTAGTTCTTCAACATTTGAAAGACAAATGTATGGCCCCAATAACCCAGTGGACTGAAGATCTGACATTACCTGCAACTTATTAATGAACTGCCTACAGATGTAGATAATGTATAGACAATTATAACAAAATGTTCATTTTTTAATTGAAACGGTTATATAAAATTTCATACATATACATCTATATGAGTCCATTGGAGTTGGGCAGCTAATAAATTTAAATAAATAAATATTTATGAAAGAAGCCTTCATATACACAATTTATGGCGTACTGCCTTTTTCTTCTCTCTGTTCTTTATTAAATAAAGCAAAAAAAATTGCAGATACCAACCACCTGACCTATTTTTATGTGGCCTCACACTTTATTTAATGGACAGTCATAACAAAGAAGGAGAAATTAGTGATACACCCAAACAAATGGAGCAGGCTGTCAAGTAGCAGCATTGCACATTTTAGGCTCATATATTAATGTTAAAATTTAAAATACTGTAACTCTAGTCCTTTCTGTATGTTATGAGAAAAGGAGAAGTATGCTAGGGAATTCTGCCTTATGTTGGCCTGCAGCCAACCTAAGTTAAAGAACAGCCTTCCCAGGACTCCAAAAACTGCAAATTTCATGTATATTTCAATTTAGTATATGGAATACAAATTGCATGGGGACCCTCTTTAAGTAAAAGTGGACTTCTCGCCACTTCAGCAACTAGTTTTGCAAACCATAAAAGACTGAGCAAAGAGAAGCTTATATACCAGAAAAGATACACATCTGCGAATTCACTCACATATGGTTATTGTAATAGAGCATCTCTTGTCAGATAATAACCCTAGTACAAGATTTGACAATAGTTCATTTTCTATTCAAAGTGCACCAGTCCTTGGGTGGCAGTTAGAGGAGAGGCACTCTTTGGGAAATCTTCCAAGATAACAGCTACCCTTAAACCCCTTCCTTTTCAACATGCATTTACACAGGTGCATGTTTACGGCCACTTTCCAGACTAATTCCAGCCTCCTTTGACCTGGGAAGAGAGCAAATGCAAGATAAGAGAGGTCAGCCTAGAGTTAAATATGCCCACCATGTCCATCTGCTCCATCTCTCCACACCTCGGCACCACTGCTGACAACAACAACAAACACTGATTAAAGAACTTCTAATGTCTATGAGAAAAGGGCAGATTACTTGCAGCTGGTTCAACAGCTGGAACCACTTTTAGAATTTGACTTAGAATGGATCTGTCCCCACAAAGAAAAGACATTTAGCAATTCCTACCCATACAGATTGTAACATACAACTAAGGAGCTTATGCAAGCTTTTGCGAAATTAAAAGCAAGTGCCCCAAAGCCTGTGCGCTACAGAAGAAACAAATGTGGATCGATCCCTACCATTCAAGAAGGAAAGAGGAAGTGATGAATTAAAACAAAACACAGGAATCATGTTTGGGAAAAGAAAAGAAAAGCAGAGCATTTTAGTATTCCTCTTCAGTATATAATGACAGAAATTTTAACTTTTAATAAACTGACAAGATACTAAAAGTTTGCAATAAGCCTTTCCTGCTGCTTGGTGCACTGAAGTACTTGCAAATCAAAACTCTGTTTTATTGTCACAACCTCCTTTGCAGCTGTAACTTACTACTTCACTATCATATACATCTGGCTTCCTTTGGTCCCCCTTCTAAAGTAAAGTACCTCTGTCAGGAATGGGTGAGTTGTTTGACTATTCCTTATTAATAGGAAATATGTTCCTCTAGGTAGTTATATAAAATCTGACCTGATGCAGCTGCCAACACTAAATCTTTTCCTAATTTGGAGCTCTTCTGTTTTATTTTTGTAAAATGATTAGTAGAAAGGGAACATGGGGTGAATACAGATAGCACACTCTAAGGCTTTTTACTGTTTAGGAAAAAAAATATTGTTCAGTCTAACAAGTTTCAGTTTATTGTTCAGTTTAAAAGGTAACCTGAAGCTTACATTTCTTTATATTGAACAAAATATCTCATTTGTTGATAAAACAATGTTGCAAATTATATACTTTTTATTTTTAGAAATATCTCCATCAGATAATCTTTTAGAAAGGAGTCAGGCTTGGCTTTGTGAGTACTTGATTAAGAGCCGTATTTGCTTGTTATGGCTGGGTAAATGTCACTCCAAGAAATTTAACAAAAGAAACTATCTGAAAATTAACAAAGATCACTGTTAATTGCTTACTTTGTTAA